AATCCTTGTAAAGGAAGAGCAAATTAACAAATTACCTGACAGTTGACGCATTTTTAAAAAGTGGAAAGAAGTGAACAAATTACATTTTGCTTTTTACATCGCTGGTCTTCCCTGCTTTTTCGCACAAATTGCATTAATTGAATAATTCAGGAAAACTTTTTTTTCTCCGTAAAAAGCCAAAGAAAATAACTTGATAATTGAGCTCATAATAAGCTTGCAGTAATAATACTGCTCTAGTGTCCCAGCCATCTGATAGACCCACTGACGTGGACCTAAGGAGAGAAAAAGTGGGTGTGCCAATTCAGCCATGATCGTCCTGGAAGCAGTTAAAACTTTATAAGGTACAGCACAAACGAGAACAATGCCTGTTCCAACTGAAAACACTGTAGAATCTTGCCGCCGTTCATTAACCACAAGAGAGCTGGCAGAATCCCCTAAGTAAATTCTGACCTTGATTTCTCTGAGGGGCGCTTGTGCTTCTATATCTTATTTCTTCAAAATATACATCAGGCATTGGATAATCTCTTATTGACACATTTCTTTTCATTCAAAGGGAACAGCAGACTTCTCTTATTCTACTTACTAAATACCAGCTGTCAAGGGCCTGTTTAAAAATGAAAGGACTTATCACCTTGTGTAAATGACAAGATTAATAATGTCTTGGGTTTCTGAGAACTTTATTCCAGTTATAGACCATGCTAAGGGCAAGGCCAGGAGTTTGAACAAAACCGTGTTCCTTTCCAGGATGCAGAATACATACATATAAAATGTTACCCCAAAGCACACGCCCAAATCATTCTAATTATCGTGAGCGGAAAGGCAGGTCTTAAGCCTATAAAGTCAACTTACATGAATTGTGCCTTAGTGACCTGATGACAACCAATCTGGTTTCACCATGAAGAAGTATTAGGGGGAAAACTGTGTTCAAAGAGTTATTTTATACTAGCTATTGCATAAGTACCCCAAATTTGCAAACATACCATAGATGAGAACTGGCCTTGATTGAAGTAGATAGGGGGTCTATGGGTCACCTTGCCTTTGTTCAAGGTGAAGGTATAGAAATATGGAGATACGAGGGGACTTATCAAAGAATGGAGGGAAAGGTAAGAGCAGGGTGAGGCCAAAGCTAAAGCAATGTGCTACATTCACCCAGCAGAATGGTTTGTAAAGGTATCTACAAGACAGCAAAGGATAAAGGACATCAAAAATATCCAGAATAAAAAAGAAAGAAAGAAAAAAAGAAAACCTCAACAAATCATCTAGATGTGTGCCTACTTAACATTCAAGACATGGGTGTTTCCAGATGTAAACTCAAAATAATTAACTGTTTTCATGCTTCCCCTGCATATTTGCTCCTCCTGAGGACCTATTCTGGAAAGAACTTTCATCATCCAGCTCTCTGCTTTTGCTCCTGCCCTGCTCTGCCTCTCAGTGCCAGCTCTTGATCCTGAAAGCCACTGGGGACAATTTCAGACAGTTAAAATGTAAAAATATTGAAGCATTGTCTGTCTCAATAAAAATTTCCAGCTAAATGCTATGCCATAGCAGTGTGGCCATGTAATATTGTACAGAAACTTTAAGGAATATGGGGAAAATAATCAGGACTTCAAGGATAAAGAAGCTTGGATATTATTATAGATCTTCTATTTTATGACTTGAATGTGATCAGAGCTTAATTTACTAGTGTCTTTGGTGTGGCCTTCTTCTACAAAGATAAATTACTATGGTTAATACAATATTTTCCAGGGGGTGGTAAAGGATATCAGCCAGGAGCTGCAGCTACTTAGAAATTATGATTTAAGCGTTCACTCCAGTGTTTTCAGAATTCCTATCTCCAAAAACATCACTGCAATAATTTTGAAAACATGAAGAGACCTCTAAAAAAAATAAGCTTGGGTCTTTCTAGGAAGCATTAAGAAAGAAAACTGCCACAAAGCTCCCTCTGGCCTGAGGGGGGGAAAAAACCCAAAATAAAATAACTCACAGAAATCTACTGGAAAATTTAAACTCAGGAAAATCCCCTCAAATAAAATGCTTGTACAGAGGTATTAGGAAAATGTTAATCACATGGCCCTTGTTTATGAGACAAACCAGATTACATCCTTTTTCAACTTTACTTGAAAACCAAAATCCATGCTGTTCCTAAGTACTTGTCACCCCCAAAGAAATCAAATATGGGTTTATCCAGTACACATGCTTTGACTGTCTCACTATTACCAACCTGTATTATCATCTTAGCAAGAACATTTATTCTCTCTTACAGAACTCTTCCACATCATTATAAAACTGATCCACATTGATTAAGCTTGATCTTTAACATCAGAATTTCTAAAAATATCATCTTTGCAAAAATAAACTATAATTTATACACCCCTGTTTTGTTCTGGGCCATCTTTTCCCTTCTTTATTAGACGTCATAATTATTATAATGACTAGACTACAGTTGAAAGATTCATCTGACAGTCTTTCTTTCTGTAGCCCAGGACTTAAACCTGTCTTGTTATTAAAATTCTTTTTGTAAACTTGAGCTCCATCTAAGAGAGCAAAGAGAAACACTTTTTTAAAATTTTTTTAGAGTGCTTCATCTGCTATTGTGTTGTACAGGTGAGTTGATGCTTGTTCATGTTTAATAATTACTCCTGGTCCAGGGTCTCTCTTTATGGACATCAAATAATATCTCACACAGTGAGAGTGTTCATTATGTGATGAGTTGTACTTATTCACCATTTGGCAGCTCTTATTCCTCATGGAAAAGAGAGCAAAAAAAGAGACCTAGAGAATCTCTCCAGTCAGCTCTTTTATCATTGTACCTAGTCCAACATTCACATTTCAAAGCTGTCTGAAATCGTAGTCTTAATTAACTTTCAGAACTATGCATACAAGCTTATGGACGAGTATGTTTATAAAATATGCATACATTACTTGGATATCTGTTCTCTTTTGTCTTGTCAGCTGGGCTAAGTATGATTGCATGCATATATTGTCTATCACACAGATCTGACTTTTACCTCTGACTTCCCTCTCTCGTTGTTTATGGGTGAACTTACTTGACCATGTAATGTCAATTTCACAATTATGTTATTTGATACGTACTCTGTTACCATCTTAGATTTCTGCCAGCAAAATACATAAATTTAAAATGAGTGCTTACAGAAATAATAGGTATGTGTCTAATATTGGCCTTTTATATTTTTCCTGATTAACTATTTTCCTTCATTCTTCAATTAAAATAAGTAAACATGCTGTTCAGTATGGTATGAAACCAGCATATTTTCTTCTGAAAGCAATATATTTTACAATGTGTGCCTCAAAAGTAACTGTGTTAAAATTATAAATGCCTGCCCTAAGAAGCAATCTAATTCATAGTTAGCAATAGCAAAACAGTTTTGCTTTTTTAATGCAATCAAGATTCCCAATGAGAAGAGTATATTTATTATAAAATATGAGACACATAAATATTAAATGAAAAATTGTATTGGCCACAAGCCCCATTCTTACACCATCCTTTCACTGATCCTGCAACAGTTCTATCTGTCCAAGGAGACAGCTCCTATTGTCAGTAAATACGGATAGCAAATAATTATTATGATATAATTACATTATTTCATCTTACAACTGCCTTTGGAGGTCTGTCATCTCCTTTATTTTAGGAAAGATAACCTGAAAAATTCATTCACTTACAACACCTATGTATTTCCCACATCTACAAATAGTGTATGCTCAGAAAGTGTTTGTTGTTGATATGACAGTAACTCAAATGATGGACTTGGGATATTTTCTGCTTCCAATCAATAGCTAATTTAATAATGTTTTCCTTTGTCAATAATGCCTCTTGTTTTCTTACAGCAAAAGGAAAAAATAATTGATTGGTTTATTAATTTTGATATATGTTGAAGATTTTTAAATGATACCTATTTAAACCTAATTTTACAGTTTACTACCTCTTACACAGTTTAGTCAGTAAAAATTACCTGGTAGCTGGTAAAATGCCAAAGAATAACTTCATAATGATGATTGAAATAGAGTCTTAGGCCATATGGACGCTAACGTTACTTAACAGCTTTCAATTGGAAACATCTAATTTAAACTTTTCTTTTTTTTGGTGGTGATTTTCACAGTAAATTTGTCAAACCACCATTTTAATATGGTCTTTGAGACATATTTTATTTAGGTAACCATTGGGTTAAAAGAAATAAGTGATGGATAACATAATTAAATTCTAACCCAAAAGTGTTTATAAAACAAAAATTAACAGGCTAAACCTTTTGTTGTTTCAGGTATTGTCATACTAAGTTACAAGATTCATAACCTAACTTTATTGAGTGCAAAATATGCTTCATGATATTTTCATGATCTTATTTCATAGTTATTGTTATTAAAGTTAACCTCACTGCATGGGCCTCCAAAAAGCAATTTCCAGTGGTGATATTTTTAAACTTTTCACATATACAAAAAAAAGGGAGTATTTTGATTAATCTAAAAGTGTTTCTCATTTATAAACAAGCAAATCAAAATAAAATGCACAGTCAGATAAGAGCACATGTAGATCATGTGTGTGTGTGAGTGTGTATCTACCTATTTCAAGTAAAATCTATGTAATACTTCAAGTGTATCACTTCCAATTTCTGCACAAATTCATAAAGCGTCATTGAGTAGCTCAATACTTTATATGAATGTTTCCCTATTATGATGGTAAAGAAAAAAAGGTAAAGAACAACTAGCAATAAATAGTACTGTTTTTAGAACATTCAATCACACTTAGAAAACTAGAGCATTTGTGAAGTTACAAAGTGAGTAAACTATCCAAAAAAGTAGCACTGAAAGAAAGTAATACTGCAAATAACTTTATTCTGCATCTTACTTATATTTGTGCATTACCTTTCACCATATCAACAAACAGGCCACAAGGGTCTACTGCAGCTCACTGTTATTTTTATTCTTCAGGCTTCACTGATACTTTAGTGCTCTCAAAGAAAGACAAAAAAATCTTTACAACATACCTGATCATTTATCTGGCATGCAACGAGGTTGTGCTGATCATAACAGCCAGCGAACCTGATGTACTTGAGCCAGCTTCCTACATCTGGTTGACTAGCATCTATGCAGAACTTCACATTGCAAAACTCATCTAAGATCTGGAAGGAAGAAGATGAGAACAATCAATTTCCATATCAGTTCATTCATTAGAATGGTTAATTACTTGAAAATATTTTATTCAAGTGTATAGTCCTCCTTTAAATCCTTTTTTTAAAAAAGTCAGGCAGCATGCATATTAATAAAGGAGGAATAATAATAAGTTACCTTAGAAGCGGCAATGTACTATTTTTTAGAAGAACAAAGCAATTGTACATTATTGCAAAAACTGGTCAATTGATTTAAAAAAATGCTTGTTTCCTTGTTATGCATGAATGAGTGCTCTTGACTTAATTTTATTCCATGTGATTTTTACAAAAAATAATATTGAACAGCATATATTAACCTAATATTTCTAAACTAAATAGTCAATGTTTTAGGTTCAGATAGTCTTCCCATGTAAGTGTATACTTTCACATTTTTGCCCTTTAAATTAATTCAATTAAAAAACTTTAAATATTACTAAATTCCTTTTCACTTTGCATTTCACTACCATGAAACAATTAAATCACACCCTTAGTGGAAGAAGATAATAAGATTTGTCTCATAAATGTCTCTGAGCAAACGTAAGAAAAAGAAATGAAAACAAATGATTGGTAAACACTCATGCAAAATATGGCAACCTAATGTTTTAGCTAACACATGCCAATGCATGTTTCAATTTTATGTTTAGTAACCAAAATAACAGAACTGGCTTGTGAACAAGTAAAAAATATATAATAATATTGTAATAAATTGCCATCATTATCTATGGTTGTGTATTGTTATTTTTCATGAGATTTTACATTTGGCCTATCCTGAATATTAATCATTACTTAGGACACCTTAAACAAAAATTGAAATGGGAAATGTCCATTTTTAAGGTTTTGCATACTTACACAAAGCTATTGATTGACTAGCAGCAATGTTTTAAACATCAATATTAAAAACTGCAGAACTGTTGACCTAATGGCGAATAACTAGAAAGGTTGGCAATGTTAATGTCAATCAGTTAATGCAAACTTGAGGAAGTTTTCCTATCACAGACTAAATAAGACAGTCCAGAACAAAAAATAATGAATTAAATAACTCCCACAGAACCCTGCTGTATCTACACCTATGTAAAAGTAAAAACTAAACTCTTGGGTATATAGACCAAAAAGCAATCTTGCATAAAATTCAGGTAATCACCTAGTTGCAGATTCAACTCATTAACTCACCCACAAACTTCAAGAAGCCCAGTGCTCTGAGGGCTCTAGTCAAGAGGCATTATGAATAAGCCTTTGGCCGTGAGACAATTAAAGGGCAATAAGAAGTCCCACAATTTAAAAAAGTAAAATCAAAACAGAAGATAGGGATAATAATTGCTACACACACACACACACACACACACACACACACACAAATCTTTTTCAAGACCCCTCTTCACACTAACAACAGAAAGTCCACATTAAATACCCTCTCTAGTGAGAAAGACAGATATTAACAATTTCTTATTTTTAAAATTACAAACTTTAAGTTGTTTTCTTCAATTCTCAATGCTGAGTGACTCAAATAGCAACTTGGGATTCCACCCCCCCCCCCAAGATGTCCACAGGGAGCATAAGTAACAATAGCAATACACATTTTAAAATAGTAAAAAGTTGGGATTTTTGTTTTGTTTGTTTTTTGGCTTGTTTGGTTTCTGGTTGATCTTTTGTTATTTGTTTTCTTGACTAGCAAAAAAAAAAAGGCACTTCTACTGACACACTAGAGAAATATTTAATGAAGGAAATAGGGTGAAGTCAGTGAAATGCAACACCAGTTCCATTTCATATTTGCAGAAAGACCTGGAAAACTTGTTAATTTCAAAGTCAAGCATCATCTATCCCCTTAGCTTTCGAGCATTCCCTTTTGCGGGGGCAGGGAATTAAGTACTGCATATACTGCACGTAAAAATTCTAGGTGTAATTTTATTCCGTGTTAACATTATTGCCATTGCCACTGTCAACAGTGAAATTAATTTAAAAACAGGTTCATTTCCAAAGAATGTCTTTTTACATATATGTTACATGATTATTCAAATATTTCACCAACATATTAACTTTCTTACTCTCAATATTCTTGCCCCAAGACAAAAGCTGAACTTTCTCTAGAAACGTTTCCCCCCTTGGGTGAATTGTTCACTTTTGATTTGCTAGCAGAACTGCATTTGTCTCCCAAATGTCTTAATCGTCTCGGAAATCTCGAATAAAAAAGTAAGAACACATCTTCCGTCATTTCATCTAACACACTCCTGTGTTTTTAAAAGCTGTCAAGTTCCAAAGATAGCTTAAAAAAAAAAAATTCCCTTTAGGTAGACTTTAGAGAAAGGCCCTTTCAAAAAACCAACAGCAAAAGGAAAGAAAAAAAAAAATCCCCACAATCTAGCCAAAGGGTCCGAATGTGACTTTCTCGAGAAGCAGCACACGATGTTGGACAGCAAAGCTGTTACTTGGCAAGGTGGAACTCGGCCGAAAGCGGCTCCAAAGTCGCGTGGCCGGTGCCAGGAATTCAGATTTTGGCAACCCCACCTTCTGCGTCCCTGATACCGACGGACAGACACACGGAGGGAGGGGAAGTAGGATTAGAGCGGGAGGAAAAAAGGCCGACAGCCGGCAGAGAGACCCACCGAAGGCCGGACGACCCACCCCGGAGACGCGTCCAGACCGCACCGTTCCACAGGAGGAACAAGGAAATCGCCAGTCCCAGCAACGTAGATAAGCAGCAGGGCTCCGCGAGACTGCGGGCAAGTAGGAAAAGAAGGCTGGGGGCGGGGGGCGCCCCGGAGAAGGGGTGCCAAGGCAGGAAACTGTCCGAAGTTACAAACTATGCACGCCAAGACTTTTTTTTTTTTAAAGTGAGTTCTCTTACCTTAAGATTTCTATGGCCTCAACTCAGCAATAAAAGGCAATCACAGAAGAATTAAAACAAACAAAACAAAATAATCAGCAGCCCCCAGCTTTCCTGCACGAAAATCCTTTCAAACGATCCCGAACCACATTTCGGGATGTTAAAAAAAGGAAAAAAAAAAAAAAAGGAAAAAAAGAAAAGAAAGAAAAAGAAAAAAGAAAGCCTCGCGTCTCGATTTCCGAATAGGTCTCTGATAACTTTGTCCGTCTCTAGGATCTGCTCGCCAGGACCACGCGTTTCAGATTTATTGTCCGCCAACAGTGTATTTTTAACACCAGAAATGAAGTCTCCTCTCGTCTGGGTGACCCGGGTTTGGTGTGTTTTGGCTTTTTTTTTTCCCCCTTCCTAAATGAGCTCGGAGCTATTCCTTCTGGTTCACATCACCTCCCTCTTTTCTCACTTTCTCTTGCTCTTATCAGCCCGATGTGTAATGAAAGTTATCTGAAACCCACTAAAACTTCTTCCACTTCTCTCTCCCAGTTCCAAGGGTGGGGGGGGGGGAACAGGCAGGAGGAGGAGGAGAGTTTGAAAAGGTGGGGGGCCTGGGGAGGCGAGGGGAGCTCTAGCCCCCTTTTAGATCCTCCGCAGCGCCTTCCCCAGTCCAAGACCCTCACGGGATCATCCCCTTTCGCAACTCCAAGCGCAGCCGCCGGGTTTCTATTTCATGAACTGTCTCTTTAAAGAGGATCTGCTCGGCCATCCAGAAAGAACCCGGGGCGAGGGAGAAAGGGAGCTATCTCCCGCCGCCCAGAGTGATCGGAAGCCAGACGGGCTCCTCTTTCAGTAAATTTTTAAAGTGACAGCAGCCTCCTCCGGCGGGAGAGGTCACAAAAAGGTCGCCAAGACCCAAGTCCTATAGGGACAGGCTGATTATGGATACACCATCCCCCTTAAACATGTAGATTTCTCTGGTAAACAACCAATGGGGAGATCTCGCCAGGCAGAATTTCTTTCCCTAGGGAAATATCCTCTGTTTCGATGTCCAGAAAGCACAAGTGTAAGTGCGTGCGTGTGTGTGTGTGTGTGTGTGTGGTGTGTTGGAGATGGGGGATGGGAGTGATCGGGTGGAGAAGTGCTTTGGGGGGTGTGAGGGTGTGTGAACCAAGGCTGGGGGTGGGGCGCTGGAGGGGGCAAGAATGGGGTTTAGGGTAAAGAGACACTGGCTCATACTAAATCTAGTAATTAGTTTAGAAATTCTCAGAAAACAGCAGCCTAACAGTGAAAGTTGACATGTCCATTTCCAGTTTTCTGCTAAGCATCTTTTCAAATGATTATTATTGAAATTCATACTCTGTTCCCTCTATTATTATAGTTAGGTCAGCTGAAGAGCATGCTACTTTTCCAAATCATACTTTTCTTAAAGGAAGTAATTTAAAAATCTGAAACATTTTTGCATATAACCTGCCCAAATAGCGTATTAAGGGCTTGGAGAGATTGACAATTATCTGGTGAGTTTTTGCCATATTCTGTGATACGTTAATTAAAACCCCGTGGAAGTCCAAAAGTGGAATTAAGCAGTTTGACAACTCAGGTTATTTTTAAACTTTTAACATTATAAATGCTGCTTTGGGGGATCAGTACTGTACGGTGATTAATAACTTTCTAATATATATGGTCAATTTTTATCAAAACATTTCAGAAACAGCACTGGAAGATAGAATATAGGGAATGCGTGACAAAATAAGAATCTACGGATTTACCTATAGCCAACCTTGGAAAATTTAGTAAAACCCACCGGTTAAATGGAAATAAATGCTTTTTATCACAAAACTCCATTCATAAAAACAAATGAACAAATCCAACTTCTCAGCTCAACAATGGAAAGTTAAGCAAAGTAAGCAAGTCGAGGGACCCTCGCGGGGGAGGGGTGAAGGGAAAGTCTCTGGAAAGCGCGCTTATGTTAAACTTTATCAGCAAACGGGGACAACGCCAAGTCCCCTTTTTGTTTTCTCCAAGTGCAAACAGACGTGTAAATCTAGTAGATGTATATTTCCCCCAAAATGCTGATTTAAAAACAAAAATAGTAACAAAAGGGAGGGATGTGGGGGAGAGAAAATGACAAGAGGTGGTGACTAATTCGTTTCGGTGGCCTGTTATCTGTGACATTGAACTGTTATTTCAGATAATGGCCATTGTTTGAGGGAAAATCGCACAGCAGTGGTAGGTAGGACAGGAAAAATCCTTTGTAAATAACCTAAAACCCGGTCAGATATTCCCATAGAGTTCGGCGCTTGAGAACCTTTAAGAGCCCCCGGTTTGCTGCCATTGATTTCCTGCCCTTCCTCAACTTGCCCATTGTCGGAGCCCTTTTTTTTTTTTTTAATTTAGCCATAAATTGGACCGGCTCGAGCTATGAGCTGTTCTATTTTCTTCCTGTCAGGATGAGGGATTTGTTTTATGATGCATTGTGTATTAAATACAAGTAATCTGGGGAACCGATTGCTTCAGACAGTGCGGCCTGATCAGGGGGTCTGGGAGCTCAGCGCCCCAATCCCCCGCCCCAGCCCCGCGGCCCCCGCCTCCTTGCCCTTTACAAAGCGGCTCTGAAAAGGAGGAAACGTCGGTGGATAAACAAAAGGTCGGGTAGAATCAGTGGCAGGTCCTGGCTAAATTAGGATTTCGTGGAAAGGGCCTCCGAGTTTCTTTTCCCTTATATTGGGTTCGGGTGGGGGAGGTGGGGCGACTTTCAAGGTCCGGGTACTTGCAGATGCTGCAGGAGGCCGGTAGATGGCGTTGCGCCCCGAATTAAGGCGCTGCGGCGGCGGCGGCGGTTGCGGCTTCGGCTTCGGCTTCAACCGCCCAGGTGAACCGGCTGCCGCCCGCCGGCCGCGGGCTCTGGGCTTTGCCCTGCGCTTAGCGCGTGGGCCGGTCCGCGTTTCCCGAGCTTCTGGCCGAGTGCACCGCGCAGTCCAGACAACGCAGACACCCGCCTGAGCTAGGACTAGTTCTACGTAGGACATTCTCTTCTACAAACAGGGCCAAAAGAGTTAACTCCTTCTCTCTGAAACCTTGGAAGATTTATCTAGAGAGATGGGGGATTATTTAGCCTCATTATTATTTTATTAATATCATCATCATCAGTCTTGCTCTCTACTGAATAACTTGTGAGAAAGACCAAAGGAAATCATCAGAAGGACCTGGGCAAACACTAAATATTAATCTCTCCCCCTCGCTCCCGCTCTCCACTCCCCCTCCCCCGCTCTCTCCCACCACGCCCCCTCTCTTGTTTGATTATATAATAACTTCGTGTAAAGACAGAGTCACCCCGCTTTTTTCCCGACGACACAGCTGGAAGTTTAAAAGTAAGGTCCTGAAATCCCCGCGTAGTGAGATGGGCCTCTCATGGAAGGAGCCTCTTGCTATTTCAATAACCCTTTAGGAGAAGACCCTGACCCACCTTCTCCCATTAGAAGTGGATAGAAGAGAAGACAGAGGGCTGGAGGAAAAGGTGGTTGGCGGGGGGGGGCGCTTGTTTTTTCTCCCTGGCTAACTTGCTTTCCATCAGGAGGTTTCTAAAACAATAAATAACTACAAGGAGCCAAATACCACCACCAATTCTCTTTATTTCTTGGGATTTCTGGTGAAATCTGTTTACGGTAGTTCCCAGTTACAAATTAATCTGCAAAAGCCGCTGTCTGCTCAGCAGTAATCAGTAACATGCGTGTTCTGCAGTGTTTAGCGCTGCCCTTGAAATGGGCTATTAAAAATAATGGTTTTACTATAATCTCAAACCAACTTTAATTTGCAAACATGTATCAGGACAAATGATCTAAATATTAAAGGGGGATGGAATGGAAGAACATACTACAACAAATGTATAGCTCTGGGGAAAGCAGAAAATAGAGTGATTCATCAGCAATGTTTAAAAAGAGAATCCATACTTTTAAAACATTTTTTCCAGAAGGAGTTAAAATATTGTTTTCTCTGTCTCATTCTGTTAATTGTTGTTTACCAGGAAAAAGGCATTGGAAAATATGAGGTTCGAGTGTGAGTTGATAGATTTTCTGGGAGCTCTAAAGATCCCCCTTTGGCTGATGGCAGGGCTGAGGTGGGAGAGGTTAATGTGTTTTCTTCCTGGTTTGAAAAGGGCATAAACCCTCCTCAGGCCCCTTCCTTCCTCCCCCATCTGTGTGGATTGCAGAATCTTTAAAAGGCTCAAAGATTTCCAATAAGGCCACTGGCTCTGCCTTCATTGTGTAACTGTTTATTTAAAATAAGTCAATATATTAGTTAAAGCAGTAAGAAGTTAGTGCTCTAGTATTCAAGTGATTCCCACAAGACTGTAAGCTGATGCCTCTTTTAAACCTTAAACTTCATGGTTGTCCCAGAAGTAAAAGTTCTGCTAATGGAGACCCTATGGGCATGGTACATTCCAGCACATCATTAAAGGAAAGAAAAGCAATCCAGCCAAAGCCAGATGAAATGACTGCACTGTCCACTTTTAATAGGCTTCCTGTGGACAAACAGCCCTGTAACACTCTGCAGAGGACAATATTTAAAAACAAGACAACTTGCTGGCAGTTTTCAATACCATAAAGTTAATAAAGTATGTTCCCATTCACCCTGACATTATGTTTTTAGTTTATAGAGGAAGGCACTTTATAACCTCAGCCTAAGTAGAGTTCCCTTAATTCCACAGCTCTTGGTTTCTTGAGGTGGCTAAATATACACTGAAGTTCAAGCCTGACATTTTTGTTTTAACACTGTTTTGGGTTTTTATTTTATTTTATTTTTTTTTTTGTAGCTTTTCAAGAACGTACAAGTGCATTTTTACATTTCTCAAGTGCAGTTTCATTCATGGAGATCCTGTTAAATCTTGTTTCATACAGTTCACATCAAGAAGCATGAAATAATCTGAGAAATTGACATTTGGCCGAACAATAACTGCTTGTTAATTAAATTAGCTTCATGTATAGATATTGATGTGTGTTTAAAAAGTAAATCGATGCTTCCTTTTCCACATCAGAATAGGATTTTGTAAAATTTAACTTAACCGAGACAAAGATGAGAAAAATTATTTATGTCTTTAGGATTCAAGAGACTCCCCACTGATTCTCATATAAATATTTTTCCCTATACAGAAACTCCAATTTGTCTCTCCTCTTTCTTTCCCTCCAAATTCTTGACCACCTACAAGTTCTTCTCCCAAATCCTTTTACTTAAACATAAGCCTTGTAATGAAGCATAACATCTAGCAAGAGAAACTAGATCAGAAAGCCATGGAATCAAAGGTAATTGTTTAATTTTAGTTTATATGTTTTAATCAGGGGCGTATTTCACAAGATGGGCTCCCTAAATTTGAAGGTGAATTCTGTGGTGCTGGGTAGGTAGACCCCAACAAAACAGTCCAGCACAATAAATTTACAAACAAAAAGGGCCCTGAATGTCTATAGTCACCAACATAGATCATCACTGCTCAGGAAAGATATTTCTGGTCTCTCTTGATGGACTT